TTATAAAGGAGACAATTGATATTATTTATTTATTTAGGATAGGCAAGTCTCGCTCAACCGATTCATTTTATTTTTAATATTCGGCAGGGCTAAAAGCATAGGCAATATGGATTTTTGCCAATGAGAGCATGAAAAGTTTTTAGAAAGAAGTGAATTAAATAATTCAAGACATAAGTGCTGTCATGGGCGGCTTTCCAGCCATGCCCCATGACCCATTGGACGCACCCAGTGGCATCCTGAAAAGCCTCCCAACGCCATAGTCGGCCCCGTAGTCTCGGCAGCTCCAAGTGACAAGCGCGCATATGCATTTGTCGCCCTACCGATACCAACAGTATCGCGCTCACAGACAACGCCGCGCGCGCAGACCCTGATGCTAAAGACAAAGTTGCTACCAACGGACTTGTTTCTACCTTGTAGAAGACCAAGTCCTTTTTCATTGTAAATATAGAGTAGTTTTACAGCATTTACTTTTCGCGTACTTCTATAACTTTTATAGGTCAAGTCATGTAACTTTGGTTTATTTTTTTTAAGCATTATTAAGGGGGATCAAACAATTAAATTTTCTAGCAAACAAACAGTTCTCTGTACTGGCGTCTCCCCCCCCCCCCCATACCGTGTTATTTTTCTGTAATAGCTTTTATTAATGCAATCAAGCTTTCTTTCATTCTCAATTCTCTTTTTTGTTCACTCAATTGCTTTTGACATTGGTTTTCCCGTACGGCACTAACAATCTAGTCTAGCGTACGCAGGGGACCTCAGTTGGCGGACAATAACTACACGGACATCAGTTGCTTAGCCTTACGTCACCCTTCTAAGGAATCTCAGGAAGACGCCGCGTAACAGTTGGTATCACGGCCTAGGATCGACATCGGACAAGGGAACATATTGCCATTATCACCATTTCTGACCATGGTGAATTATGGGGATCACATCGCGACCCTTGAGGAAACGGTTGACGTATTATGACCCATCGTGGAAATGGTTCCTGATCTAAAAACCAGCCTAGTGTAAAGGTTGGACGACCTGGACCGCAGAATGCTCCAGGACGAAGTTGACATAGAAAACATCAGTCACGACTCTGAAGGAGACCGACAAACGGCAGCCACAAAGGCAGACCTGACATATCTTTTTCGGTGAGTGTTGTAAGTCAGTTTATGGATTCTCCATGTGATAGTTACTGGGATACAGTTATTCGCATTCTTCGGTATATAAAGTCAGTTCTAGGCAAATGATTACTATTTGAGGATCGAGGCCATGAGTAGATTGTTGGGTACACGGATGTTGATTGGGCAGGATCACCTTTTGATAGACGTTCTACATCTGGATATTGTGTTATAGTAGGAGGTAATTTGGTCTCGTGGAAGAGCAAGAAACAGAATGTAGTTGCTCGATCTAGCACCGAAGTGGAATGTCGGTCCATGGCTATGGCAACATGTGAGTTAGTTTGGGTCAAGCAGTTGCTCAAGGAGTTAAAGTTCGGAGAAATAAGCAAGATGGAAATGGTGTGTGATAACCAAGCTGCTCTTCATATTGCGTCAAATCCGGTATTCCATGAGAGGACTAAACTCATTGAGATCGACTGTCACTTTGTCTGAGAAAAAAATACTTTCAGGAGATATTGTTACAAAGTTTGTAAAATCGAATGATCAACTAGCAGATATTTTCACTAAGTCTCTTGCTGGTTCTCGTATTAGTTACATGTGTAACAAGCTCGGTACATATGATGTGTATGCACCGGCTTGAGGGGGAGTGTTAGTTATGTGTAGTCCCACATTGGAATGGGAGTAATATGTACTTTGTAGACTATAGCTATAAATAGGACCTCTTGTATTATATTGAGTATCCAATATCAATAATATATTTTCTCCCGTGCTTTCTCACAAAAGTGATAGTCAAAATCCCAAAGCGGTACTTCTTTGCAAGGGTACATGACCCTCGCCTATTGCAAAAATATATTGGACTCTTGTCCATTAAAAGGCGCATTAGGAAAGTTGCATACTGGGTAGATACCCCACCTTGGTAGAAAATCCATCATGTCTTCCATGTCAGTCTCCTGAAACCTTTTCGGGAAGATATGGAGGATCCTTCACGGAGCCAACTCACAATATCCGGTATTCGAGGTCCCAATTCAACCGGAAAAAGGCGTGCTGAAACTATTCTTGATGATCGAATGATTCACGCCTCAAGGAAAGGTCACCAAGAGTTCTTGGTGAAATGGCAGGGATGTGATGCAGATGAGAATACATGGGAGAGGGGAACAAACCTCAAAGCCTACAAGAGCCTAATTGATGATTATCTTGCAAGTAAGGCGTCGAGGACGTCGCCAACTCAAGTGGGGGAGAATGTCATGGACGGCTTTCCAGCCATGCCCCATAACCCCTTGGACACGCCCAATGGCGTCCTGGCAAGCCTCACAATGCCCAGCGCCACAGTCGGTCTTGTGGTCTTGGTAGCTCCAAGTGACAAGAATGCATGTGCCTCTGTCGCCTCACTGATAGCCAATGCCAATGCCCAGCCACATGCAGATGCCAACAGTGCCCCGCGCGCAGACCCTGATGCTAAAGACAAAGTTGCTGCCAACGGACTTATTTCTGCCTTGTAGAAGACTAAGTCCTTTTTTATTGTAAATATAGAATAGTTTTACTGCATTTACTTTCCGTGGGCTTCTACAGCTTTTATAGGTCAAGTCATGTAACTTTGGTTTATTTTTTTTAAGCATTATTAAGGGGGGTCAAGCAATCAAACTTTCTAGCAAGCAAACAATTCTCTGTATTGGTGACCCCCCCGGGACACCGTGTTACTTTTCTGTAATAGCTTTCATTAATGCAATTATGCTTTTTTTCATTCTCAATTCTTTTTTCTGTTCTCTTAATTGCTCTTGATATTGGTTTTCCCGTACGACACTGACAATTTAGTCTAGCGTGGAGGGGATCTCAATTGGCGGACCGTAACTATACAATCATCGGTTGCTTAGCCTTACGTCGCCCTTCCAAATAATCTCAGGAAGTCGTCGCGTAACAATCCACATGAGATGAGTGTCACATCGATTGATGAGGCGTTATAAGACCCGAAACTTAAGCCCCGAATCGTTATTACTTAAAGATCGTGGCTTTCAACATTCTCAAAATAATAAAGAAGAGTTGCAGCATCAGTTATATACGCAATAATGCACAGATGATATGACTAAATACGTGGCATGTGATGTTGAAGTTGAACAAATCATTTAAATCCTATCTCCTATATTAGCGATTACAGCAGAAGGACTTGGCATTGTCTAATCTGTATTATTAGCTGATTTTATGAGAATTTTGAAATAAAATTACAAAATACTTTTTATGAGTGAACAGATTATGATAGTAACGATTAAATAAAAGTACAAACAATAATTGGTTTTAGCTATTGAATTTGGTTTTTTCTGATACATAAAAATTAATTATGTCGAAGAATTTTGTTTAGGAGCATTAATTACTGATGAATTACAAACGACCTGATAATATTGATAAAATTGTCATACATTTTGGACCTGATAATTTAGTTATTTGACACTACTTTTATCTTAATTCATCGAGTGTTCACCATTTTCCTTTTAATATTTGAATAATTTTATGTATTTCTTATTAAAGTTGAAGAAAAAGTGACTGTTAAAATCACTAAATTTAACAAAAGAGTTTAGTGTATGTGGCTATGTGGTACCTTATTCCGAAGGAAAAAGTAAAAGGAGAAAAATTAGGAATTACTCCCTCCGTTCCAATTTATGTGAACTTGTTTGACTGGGCACAAAGTTTAAAAAAAAATAAAATTTTTTTGAATTTGTGGTCCTAAACAAGTCAAAAGGGAGCTCATAGTATTTGTGTAGTTATAAAAGCTTCTCATTAAGGGTAGAATTATAAATTTAAGCAAAATTATTTTTAAATTTAAAAAATAATCATTCTTTTTGAAACGGAGCGAAAAAAGAAATAGGTTCAAGAACTACAGTTTTGTGAGTAGCAACATGACCATTTAGGCATTTACCCCCAATCACGGGCGGACCCCACCTTGCTTTTTATTTCAACGAAGTCTGGCCTGTGCCACCGAACCATCAACGCTCAATAGCATTAGGACTTCAGAAGACGCAACTACCTGGTCACCACTAGTCCGGAACTAAAGTAATGCAAAATTCAATTTGAAGAACCAATATAATGCACAAAAAAAGGAGCAAATCTACCTATAGGGCAGGTCAGACATGCGTTATACCATCCTGGCCAAACGTCTCGGGCTTACGGGCGTTTGATATTACGTAACTCTTTTTATTATATGTATTTTTTTTCTAGATTAAATGTAAAATAATCTAGCATCACAGGAATTTTATTACAAATTTGTATTAAATTTACATGAATCATGAAAGTTGTGAACAAATCTTGAATGTAGTGCGTAAAATTTTCACGAAAGTAACATCACATTTCTAATTTTGGTGGAATTTGATTTTACAAAATTGCACTATACTAACTGCAACTCCACGATGTACATTGGATGCGACAGTGCATATATCACTTGCTCCGTAAGATTTCATAATTAGAAGTACTTCCTTCTTGACATAGACTAGGAAATAATTAGAAGAGAAAAAAGAAAGAAAAGGAGATTGGTGAAAATAGCACGGGCTAGCCAGTTTTCGGACTGATAATTATAAAATAGCTAACATTTGCAAAGTCATTAAAAAATAATCATTATTTTGTTTCAACACAAAAAGTTCCAGCATAATATTGGAGCACATGCAAGAACTTCTCCGGAGTATATTATGGTGGAATAATACATTTAGGGCCAAAAGGCTGAATGATATAGCTTGCTCCTTACTTAACCATAACCAAAAATTGGTCCCACTCCCATTCCCACTTCTCATTTCATCTCATCTATCACCTGTCAATTGCCATTGCGGCTGACCCCACTACTCTCACAAATTTGTTAATCCACACCATCCCCACTGCCCATTGGGCTTGTTCTTAAAGTCACTTGTTTAATCCGTCGCACACTTAAAACCATAACAAAGACATTCCCATTTCTTTCCCTCCCTCGGAAATCCCCTTCATACACTACAACTCTTTTTATAGTACGCCCAAATTTGGGGCTCTGTTCAACTCTCTTGCTTCCTTTTTCAAGCCATTTTCATCCTTTTCTTCAGTGCTTCTGCAAAATTCTTCTACTGAAGGCATAGAACTTGTGCTTTTTCTTTCTTTTGTTTCCTTTTAAGCATAGAAGTTTTAATTGAGTTTTATTTTCCTTATTCGTGGTGTAAATTAAATGCTTTTCATTCTTCAGTCAACAGCGAAGATCTAATTCCTTCATTCATTTTTAGAAAATAATTCATTCGCAATTACTCCTATATCCAACAAGTTTCTTAGTGGATTACATTCACATCTCTATTCGTCTCTCCACGCATTCTTTCTGTGAACTATAGATTCACTATAAATATTGCTGCATTCCCCTTTTTTGTTTTTCTCTGGGGAGCGCAGTAAAAAATGAAAATGAATGTGAATTCTGTTATCCTGTTGAAATTGGTTCTGCTAATTTGCTGGCCATGGCTGGTTTACTCAAAAGGTGAACAGAGTCGGCTTTTGGTCAACATGACTCTTGTCCATAACGCTTCTACTCTAGGAGCATGTAATAACCCCATGCCCTATCTTTATTGAGAGCTTTAATTTCCTTTTTACCAATCATTAATAATTCCTCTTAAATTTCGCTATCAAACGCAAATTTACTACTTTTGTACAGGTAACAAACTAATTAATGGCATTGTTAATTAAACATTGAATTTTGATTTTGCAGATTGTTTGGATGGAAGTTTGCCTGCGTATCACCTGCACCGAGGATTTGGAGCAGGAGCAAGCAATTGGCTTTTGCAATTTGAGGTAAGTGATTCCTTTTTGGAGTTTCCTGTAGGGGTGGTAAAGGGCAAAAAGATTCTGTCATTGCGTACAGTTTAGTAAATAGAGTAGTTACAGAGACTTCTTTTGTTTTGCTGCTGCTTTTCTGCACTTCTTGATTAACGTGCCTGCAGCCTTTCTTTAGTAATTAGTTCTCTCTACTTTTTCTTTTGGTGACAAAACACTAAAACAGATATCGTGGGTGTTTCGGTTAAAACACGTTTTGACGTTGCTTTAGGAAGTTAGAAAACAACCTTAATGCTGTTTTTAGGCCTTGTCTCATTTTTTGGGATATTGAAATTCACTTTTTTCTTTTCCTTTTCATTTAATTACTCCAAATTGATCTTTTTACGTACTAGTATTTCCTTTTTCCCGTTTTGTTTCCGCTTTCTTTTTGTATTTGGCCAATGTGGCTAGAGAAAGAACTTTTTTTTTCCTTTCAGTCACTTGAGATAAGTTTAATAGTAGCAATTTTTAATCATATTCAAATGCTTACAATGCTCTAGGAATTTATTAACAATTTTTTTAAAAGTTAAGCTAAACAAATGCACAAGCTTTCTATGAATTTCTTTCAAAGTTCACTGCAAAGACACACATCATTATTTTCGAGAAACAAAACACAGGACCAATTTCAAAACTAAATCCAAACGGGAAATATCACACATCATTATTTTCGAGAAACAAAACACAGGACTAATTTCAAAACTAAATCCAAACGGGAAATATCACCTTAAATTCGTTACTCTGATTCGCTTTAAATTGAACATCTAATATTTGATTTCACATAGAGTATTTAAGAAGTAAATGTTAACATTAAAAAAAAAAAAATATATAT